CCGTATGTAGCTTATGGTATCCTCTCAAGGACAAGAGGCTAATAAAAATACATTCCCCCAACCAATAGATACTCCTTTGCCTTACACAGAAATTTATGATGAAAATGTAAATGGAAAACACATAGTTAATATAAATGACAAATGGGTTGAGGTGTAAAGCCTGCCCTTTAAAGATTACAAAGACATAAGAATTGGTGAGGCTTTGATCAAGGATCAAGGAAATTCTTTAAAAAAGCAGTTGAATAGGTCATATGAAAAAAGAAAATTACCTTGGAAATTAAAAATAGAATAATGTAAAATTAACATAGATATATTTTAGAGGCACTTCAGAGTAGTAGGCTTTTAAATAATAGATTTTCACTACTTTAAGTGTGTTTTACTGGGATTTTAGTTTAGAAGTAAGAAAGCTTACCAATAATCATAAGTATGCTTTAAGGTTAAAGGTTAATGAAATAATTATAGGTATGCTTTAAAGTTAGAAGTGAATAATAGATCAGGAGTTATGTAGTCTAGTTGCATTGCCTAGCACCTAGTGATTGAGGTGAAAACGTAAAAGCTTAATCATGATTGACTAAGGTTACAGAAAAATATTTTGAACAATGTACTCAATAACTTAGGTAATCAATGTATGTCAGAAAAGATTGTAACTCTTGAAAATTATGTAAATCAAAAAAGTTCATGCTTTGAAGCTATCCATTAACTACCTGAAAAAATACCTGTAAAAAAGGTATAAAAATAAAGTTCCCTCCAAGGGCAGCAGAGATTTCTTCTGGAGGCTGCTCATAATTTGCAACCTGTTGTCCTGACTCCTCTTCTTTCACTGATGCCACTCCTCCTTCAGGACCTCTGGAACCTGACTCCGCCTGCAGGGGCTGGACCTCAGCAGTGTACAACCAGAGACATGAGAAATTGTGTTCTATCTGTGTATTATAAATTGAAATGCATTCTGCTGTCATATGTAACAAATTAGAATTTAAAACAAGAAAAACAAGCATTCATTGATTGTTTTGTGCCAAGTTGCCTAATGTGCTGACTTCTTTTTTTGCAGGGGGCGGGCGGTCAAATGAGGGGACACTTTACCACTGAGCTACATATATATCTAGCTCATTTTATTTATTTATTTAGAGACAGGGTCTTGGTAAGTTGCTGAGGCTGAACTAAAACATGCAATCTTCTTGCCACAGCCTCTCAAGTTGCTGGGATTACAGGTGTGCACCACCTTTCTGGGCTTCTTGTTTTTTTTCTAGGAGAGTGAATCATACTAATTTTAAAATTCATCTTGGGTCTACCTTGTTTTTAACTTTAGGGCCTTTTAAACTCTTAAATCTAGAGCTGTTTACTGTTAGGAAGTTTTTCCAAGCCTAGCATCCCACTGACAATGTGTGAGGTCATCAAATTCAAAAGACTGTCAAAGAGAGTTGATGAGAGGAAAAACAAGGATGTACAATTCTGGTGACATAGAGGCAAAAAGCAAAAACAAAAGCAAAAAACCTAGCTCAGACTAGGAATGAGGTTGGATGATATGTGTTGCTGTGTAACAAGCCACTACAAACTTGGTGGTTTGAAGTAATATTTATTTTGCCCACAAATCTGCACTTTGGGCAGTACACAGCGAGATCAGCTTATCTGTTCTACTTGGTGTCCTTGTGGCTGCTCTATTGGGGGTGGAAGGAAACACTTTCATGATGGCTTGATGGCTAGCAAGATGGTGCTGGCTCAGCTGAAAGCTCAGCCCCATTCCACAGGCTACTTCAGCTTAGTTTTGACATGATGGTTAGGCTCTGAGGGTGAGTATCTCAAGGAAGTGGAGCCACCAGTTTTTTAAGATTTGGGTTTAGAAACTGGCAGTGTCACTTCCACTGGATCCTAGTAGTCACTAACAAAACTCCCAAGAAGATTCATAGATCCTACCCCTCAGTGTATCAGGGAATTGGGGAGCCACTGTTTTAAAACCAGCAAGTTAACTTGAGAGTGTGAGCAAAAAGCCTGAATGGATAGGAATAAGAGTACATTTATCAACTAGCACTGGGATAGGGGAAATGATGGATTACAGAGCCAGGATATACAGATAGGACTAGAAGAATGATGAAAATGAAAGCCTGAATCCCAGGAAAGGTTAGCTGCAAAGAGGGCTATTTACCCAGAAACTGCCTGTATAGGAGCCAATTGAGAAACAGAAGTAAAGTCAAGGCCACGCAGTCAGATGTTGGGAAGAACACAGGGAAGGTAAAGATCAGATCAAGGCCAAATGCTTGAAATCTGGTTAAGAGGATAGTTAGGAGTCCAGTGTGTAAGTGAAGTAGTCAAAGCTGGTAAAACAACTAGGACTAAGTAGCAAACACCAGAAAATATGGCTATGCCAGAGTGCCAGACAGAAACAGGAATCCAGAAATCAGAAAAAGGCAAATCAAAGAGGTAGAAAAATAGGTAGACTTTAACACTGAGGTGGAGTATGGAAAGCCTAAACTCCCATCTACTGCGCTGTGCTGCTGAGAGATCTGAGTACCTCTCCTGCTCATCTACATGGTGGGGCAACAGTCAATGAATTGACCGAAAGATATCGTATACAGCATGAATTAGGCAATCAGGGGTTGGGAGCGTAGCTCAGTGGCAGAGGCTTTGCCTAGCACATGAGGCTCTGGGTTTAATCCCCAAAATGACAAAATAGAAACAACAATCAGGAAACACCTCAATTACAATTGTTTCAATTCAGATTTTATTAAAGGTATTAAAGTTATTTCTGAATACTACATTTCAGTCTTATTTTCCCCTATTTATTTTTTGTTTTAAGAACCTTTCTTCATTTACCAAATACGGTGTCATGAGTAAGAGCACCAAAAAACATAGTCAATGTCGAAGAGACTGATTGTTTTATGACAGTAAGGAAAGTCAGTAAAAAAATTGTAGAATCCAAGTACAGAAACACCAAAATTCCCCCTTCAAGCAAGCCAGAGCTTCTTTACATATCATCTGTAAGCTAATGTTTTTGGATTTTACCATTAAGATGAAAATAAAAGAGCAAGATCACATTGTTTTATTTTTTTTTGCTTCTTCAGTCTAAAAATATGAGTTTCTTGTGGTATGGTTAATACCCCCCCACCCCCCTGCAAAAAACAAAAACAAACAACAAAACAAACAAACAAAACTGGAAGGAAAATAAGTCACTGTGAATGATTTGCTTATCATTTAAAAAAAAATCAGTTGACTAGCCTTTCCCTTTCCTTAGACTTTAGGCAGCTATAGAAATGTAGGAAAAAAAAAAAGATTAAAAAAAGATAAATAAATATAAGGGCCAACTGTAGGAGGCAATTTGCATACTTCACTTGATCCTCACAGTATCATGAGAGCATTTTAAAAACAAGCTTATAAGAGTGAAATAACTGGGGCTCAGTGTCACATAGGTGATGGAGCTGGGTGGGATTTATGTTCAAGTCTACGCCTAGCAAGCCTTGTTCTATTATGCCGCTCTGTCTCCCTAAAGCCCTTTGACTTGAGATTTTTTTTCACTATTACCATTTCATCATCTAATTCTAAATTTATGCTTCAAGTCTTGCCAAACTACTGAATAATAAAATAACCTAAAATTATTCTCAATCTGCTTGCAAAACCAGGAAGTGTAAAGGGTATCAGAACTCTTCAAGTAATGAGAATCTTCCATACCTAAAATTATAAACAATTCACTGGTAATGATAGCTAGTAATACCAAAACACACATGGGTAATTTGACTCAATTTCTTATTGTTACTATCTGTCAATCTCACAGGAATAAAGGCAGAAAAGGACAAATTACTACAGTAAAATTTGACTGCTCATTAAATATAGTGTGCACTTGGTTGAGCACCAAAAGCACCTTTTGATGGCATTTTAAAAGTGCATGTTTACTAGCCTCTCCCCACCTTGTGCACACTATAGAGCTACACCTCGCTCAGTCCCCTAGTTTTTTTTAAGTGTTTAAATCTGACGGCCCACTGGGTGGGGGGGGGGGAAATCCCTTACCGATGCACATTTGTGTAGTGTTGTAGAATTAACTATATTGTCTAAGAGGATAACTTACTAACCCCAAAATATACTTCTTTTGCATATTTTGAGAAACTGCAGACAGAGTAGCTCTGAAAAGTTGTCCTTTTATAAAATAAACATATATATTATTAAAGGTGTCTAAATCAGAGAGAGGGCTGCTAGGCAACTTTTGTTACCTGCCCCCCCCCCCTTGGGTGGTGATGGAAATCAAACCCATATTACCTTCCTATCTGCATAATAAAGCCACCCTTATTTACCAGTTTCTTCCATGTCCCTCACTCTTACTCCGCTGCCAAGATCTATAGCTCAGAATGCTATAAGCTTCAATTATCTTTGACTCCTTTTGAGTCTTATTTTGTGGGACTCCCGTGCAAAAATATACAATAAAGTCTAATTTTTCTCCTGATACTCTGTCATGAGTAAACTTAATTTGCAGCCCAAAGAACCTAAAAGGGTGGGGAGAAACCAGTTTTTGCTTTTACTCAGGATCAGAGTTCTGGTGAAGTGGATTTTATGGGTAACCAACTCAAATCTATATAATCTGGACACCTCACAAGTATAGGTCTGCTGCGAATGTAACTCTATGTAATTATCTTTAAGTGTTTGAAGTTAACATCTATACTTACTCCTTTATTCAACCGCTTGTTGAAGTTAGTCACTAGTTTTTTCCCCCTTTGGGTCCAATCCTAAAAAGAGTAGGCTCTTTTACTTCAGAAGCTGAAAGGTAAGATTAGACTGAAGCCTCTCCTAACATTAAAGTATCTAACTGACCTCCTTTCTAAAGTCTCACTGATGTTATTACTCATTAAGTCATTTATTAGATATATCTTTTACATAATACCAGTTGTAAGACTAAAAAAAAATCCCCACATAGGACCATTAACTTTAGGAGGTTAATACATAAGAGGAAAGCTAGAGGAGCTGGGGTTGTGGCTCAGAGGTAGAGCACCTGCCTAGCATGCGTGAGGCATTGGGTTTGATCCTCAGCACCACATAAAAATAAAAGATGTGTCCACCTATAACTAAAAAATAAATATTAAAAAAAAGAGGGAAGCTAAATGTTTATACAAATTTGACTTAAGATGGATACAAAAACTATGGATAAAGGCTTGACAGGCTTGGGAATGTATCATAGTGACAGAGCATTTGTCTAGCATGCATGAGACCTTGGGTTCAACCCCCAACACTGCAAAAACAAAAAAAAATAAAGTTTGTCAATGTAAGAGAAGCAGTGGTTTGTTAGAACCAATTAAAGAAAAAAAAAATTTCAATACAACCAAGTGAAATGAGAAATTGTGGGAATGTAACATTTTTGTCCTGATCACTTCTCCACATAATCTAATATAGGATCCTAAGGCAAATTTAACCAATAAGGCATAGGAGTTGGGACAGGTGGAATAAGCAGTTGTGGGTAATTACCAATACAGACTCATTTGGGGTCATTAGCTGTTGGTGCTGCCTCATTTTACCTGAAATTACTGTATACCTAGTGAGGCTAAAAAATAATTCCTTGCTTTAAAGGGATGTAGGTTCCTTGAATTTCCTGATGTTCTCTACCTTCCAAGTGGAATTGGAAAGGGGTAAGTATCACAAAACAAAGTAAATAATGAAGCTTAGCTGGGACTACAAGGACAAAAGATGGATAAACAGTAAAGAATAAAACAAAAGGGGGAAATCCTGAAAAATCTCTCTCTATAAAAACCAATCCAAACAATCCAATCTAAACATATACAAGTGTAAAACTTTATCATCTAAATACCCAAATGTTGAACTAATCCCTACTGTCTCCTTTTCCCACAGAATACAAAACACTATACAAGATATTGTACTAATTTCAACCATTAGTTGAAAATACAGTTAAGAAGATGATTTTGGATCTGAAGTCATCAGAGTACCAGTTTAAAAATAATTTTCATAAACATATTTTGATAAAGGCCACAGGAACACTTGTCACATTGTTCAAATGCTCAATGGCAAGACTTCTGATGAGACCAAACAGGTCACATAAAATCAATAGAGTATCATAGAAATAAAGCCAATATGACTAAATCCAAAACAGATCACATGAAGTACCTCATGTACAATACAAACCTAGTTTAATAAATAAAGGAAACACAGGTGACTGCACTCTGGGAGAACATTCAGTTCTTCAGGGCCTGCTCATAATCTTCTCTGAGATTCCACTGCCACTTCCACTTGAGCAAGTCTAATGGTACGGCCATGAAGTTTGTAGCCATCTTGCCTTACTAACGCCACTGTGCCAGGTTGTACTCCAACACCAGCTGGCACATGACAGATGAGTTCATGCTCATGAGGGTCGTATTTATCACCGATGGGAGCCATCTTCTCCAGGCCATGCTTGGCAAATACACTTTTCAGCTTTGCTTCTAAAAGTGACAACCCTCGGAAAACTTTCTCCAGAGTGAGCTTCTGGTCCCCAGGTTCTGTTTCTTCAGAAATGCACTCAGTAGTCTTCTCCAAAATGTCTGCTACCTCCACCAAGTCCTTACAGAAACTCTGGATTCCTACAGAGAAACCAGACACTTAAGTTTGTGAATTAATCACTCTGCACTTAGGAGGAGAATATGGGGCAGGCCCAGATAGGGGGCTAATATATTATATGCAAAGAGTGGGAGGGTTGCCTCACAGAAACTTCAGGATCATCCTTCTTTTCCACCCTAACCCAACAGACAAAATCTTTTTTTAAAAGGTATAGAAGACCAGAAACCCTATTGGGAAATGAGGAAGAGAGTTAGAACCCAAGAATTAGCTAAGTTTATATATAACAGGCTCAAAAACCTGTTCTTGTTAAAACAACTATTATTTTTGCTTCTTGTGTTTTTGTTGCTGTTCAGTTTTAGTATAGAGTTATATATATTTTGAAAATTCCTATCTCAGATGTACAAAGGCCACACTCTCAATAGGGACAAGATATTAACTTTTGGGGGGTGACAATAAAAATATCAACACTCTGTTAAGGATGTCAAGAGTGGTTTATTCTTGAGGACTGGCTAATAATAAACAGGAAGGTTAAGTCACATCAATAGATGATATGAATCTCCAACTGCCTACTGTGAAGTTGCTAGAGATGGGTCACAAAATTTAGTCACATGAATTGTTACAGGTTAAAAGAAAACACAGCTGTTGAGAAATCCCATTCTTCCTAAATCTGCAAAATGCTCTTTCTTACAGAGATTAGGATAAGATTAGGATAGGAAATGGCATCATTAGAGATGCCTATGACACAATACCTAGTTGGGACTGATGAGAAGCAAGGATTTTGTTAATTCAAGGACAAGTTTATGCACTGGTAGCTGCCTTCACTTTACTCAGAAGTGAGAAGGAAGATCAGCAAGCAATAAAAGGCATGAAAGAGCAAAGAGACGGGAAAACTTACTGCCTAGATAAAAGTCTAAAGGACGCATAGGAAGTCTACCTTTAACTTAAAGGTGAAGAGCTTCCTCCCCACCACCTTTTGTTTTTGGCACTAGAGATTGAACCCTGAGGTGCTTTCTCACTAAACCATACTCCAGCACTCTTAATACAATTTTGAACATGGTAAGCTTCTGGGCTGACCTGTACATTCCCAAGGCATAGTCCTTGCTTCTAGTCAGTAAAGCTATATGAACTTGGGTAAAGAGAAGCCTGTGTTTTTGTCTGTATAATAAAGGTTCATTCTCTAATTTCATTCTAATTGTTGTATTACTTTGATAGTTAGTGGCTGCACAATGTCTTAAAAGAAAAATGAATCTTTGTGACTAAGAAGGTGGATTATTGAGGAAAAAACCACCTTTGGAAGGTCAGATAGTCTTCATGCTGTATCCCTTTAAAATCATTCTACTTTTCTTCTACTTCCATGATTACCCAGTTATCTTCAATTTTCTAAATATTTCTGGCCACTAGGAGCAAATGATCCAAGAGAATAACTTATGCAGCATCTTTTGCTAGAAACATTTTACTCTAAAGCCAATCAGGTGGATTAATTTATCAAATTCTTTTGAATTTAGTTAACATGGGTTTGTTTTCAGAAGTCATACTACTACTTGAGTAAACTGATATGCTAGTTCTAACACAAAGTCTGACTTTTTATAATATACCTTTATTTTATTTATTTTTATTTGATGCTGAGGATTGAACCCAGTGCCTCACACGTGCTATGCGAGCTCTCTATCACCGAGCCACAAGCCCAGCCCAAAGTATGACTTTTGATAAGCCCACTTACCTGGCTTCTTTCAAGTAAGTTGTATACAGAGTCTAGAGTAGCCACCTGAGGTTATCTGATTCTGTAATCTGAGCCTTTGTTTTCAAGCTATTTTATAACTCACCACGATGTACAATACTGATAGTAATGCAAAAGATACTTGTCCACAATAGGGAAAATTGTCTGGTAGTTCATTGTTACACTATGGATATCAATCAATTTTGCTTCCAACAGAGTCAGTAACTTCACACATTAAACATTACTGAGTATCTACCACGTGCCAGGCACCACGTTGCCAAAATATCAGATATGTAAGTACTGTGATAAAAGGAGATGACTATCCTCAGTCAGTGACATTTTTGAGCTTCTCAAGTTTCATATTCCTAACTGTCTATGAGCCTACACTTCAGATTCTCCTCTGGATACCTTAAAGATCCACTTGTTCATTATGCAGAACTGTTTGCACAGGCACCAGCATGTTGCAAATGTAGTGATTATATGTACTTAGAAAATAAAACAAAGGTTTGGTTAAAACAAAGGCTAACATTATCTTAGCAAAAGGTTAAGTTGACACCATTCCTGATAAGCAGCACAGAAAGCCTATTGGTATGGTGGAAGGTGTAAGAACTCAGATGTACTTTTACTGTGCTCAGTTTGCACATGCAAAGTAAGTGCCCTTCAGATACATTTTATCGTGAATAAATTTCTCACCAAATATCTTGGCGTCTTCCACACATCTCTGGGTTCTTTTCCTTATGTTTTCACAATCAGCTACAGCTCTCTGGTATCTCAGCTGAACATCAACGGCAACATTGAAAAGATCAGAAAACAAATGCTTATGAGTGAATAAGAATGTTTTTGCTTACTTTATAAAATCTCACCCTTGTGATAAATCTTAGATCAGCTACTCCAAATCCCCAGCCAAAGGAGGACCTATTATAGTGAACCTGATGGGTAGTCATTCAGTCTGCTGGATTGAATATGTTTCCTTCCTTCTTTTTTCTTTTTCTTTGTGGTACTGGGGGTTGGGCCCAGGACCTCAGATGTGCTAGGTAAGTGCTCTATCACTGAGCTATATCCCAGCACCTCAATATCAGAAGTAGTTTTCAAACTAATTATCTAAAGAAAAAACTTTCTCTCTCATATCCAGCTAATCCTGTTAACCTTCAGTTTTCTTTCTCTGACTTTACTCTAGGACAACTGAGAGTAAGTTTTAAAAATGTGTTATCTATTTAAAGGTACTGATTGTAGTCTCTTAGTCTTTTTCCATTCTTACAAATTTTGGTTCCTTCAATTGTTCTCATAAGATAAGCTTTACAGTCTCCTATCATTTTCAGTGGTCTTGCTTTGAAACCATTCTGGTTAATATACTCATCTTCCTCCAAGTGTGTCAACCCAGGACTAGGTCCAGTATGCCCAATTTGGTCTCAGCAGCCAAATACAAGAGTCAGTAACCTCACACATTAAATATTATTGAGTGTCTACCACATGCCAGGAACCACACTGCCAAAATATCAGATATGTAAGTACTGTGATAAACAGAGAACTAAAAGGAGATGATTATCCTCAGTCGGTGGCATTTTTGAGCTTCTCAATTTTTTTGCTGGTAACACCTAGCAATGAAGGATTGAGGGGGTAGACGAAGAGTCAATCAGAGAAAATTGAATTTTAAAAACGACAAAGAAAATTTTACTTGGAACTGAAACCAAAAGACCAAATAACATAAAATACTTACTGTTAAATCCTGAACTTCCTTTTCCAGTTTAACAGCTTTTAGCTTTAAGGCTCGTTCAGCAAGAGAGGGCCCAAGCTCATCAGGAGGGTCCTCAGAACTGCAGTCTTCACCTGCAGTTCTCTGGGTGGCAGTGCTGAATGGGTGAAGCCATATCCTAGAATAAGAGGGAGGAGGCAACAATGAATGAATGCTATCATAGAAAAGGCAAATTACAACAAAGTTTAGAGACCCCAAACTTCCCATACTGAATCTCTAGAGAAAGGGTTTTCCGTCTCAAATGAACACTTTAGAGCATCAGGTACTGTTTTATCTGTATCATCTTTTCATCTCACAACATGTAAGGTAAGTACTATTATTTTTTAGAGCTTCTAAAAAAATAATAGTTTTATCAATATTCAGTTCTTATGCCATACAATTCACCATTAAAAGATTTTTAGTATATTTACAGTTGGGTAACTATCACAGTTTTAGAACATTTTTCTCACCATAAAAAAGAAAGCTTATATCTGTAAACTATTCACCATTTCCACCTAAATCATCTGTCTGGGCAAGTCTAATATACTTTTTATTTCTCACGTATTTGCCTTTTATGGATGTTTAACTTAGGTGGAACCATACAATATGTGGTCACTTAAGAGCACTTTCTTTCCCTTAGTGTGCTTAAGGTTCATCCATAAAATTGCACTTACCAGTAAAACTTTTTTTTTGTACTGGGGATTGAATCCAGGTGTGATTAGCCACTGAGCCACATTTACAGCCCTTTTTATTTTTTGAGACAGAGTCTTGCTAAGTTGCTGAGGCTGGTTTTGAACTTGTGATCCTCCTGCTTCAGCCTCTGAGTCACTGGGATTATAGGCTTGCTCCACTGTGCCCAACTGTAATTTTTATTTTGAGACAGGGACTCACTAAGTTGCTGAGGCTGGTCTAGAACTTGAAATCTTCCTCAGACTCCCAAAGTCACTGGGATTATAGCATGTGCCTCGGTGCCTAGCCAATAAACCTTTTTTTCCTGCTAAGTAATATTCTGTTGTGTGGATATACCAACTTTTTATTCCATCTGTCAGTTCATGGGACATTTTGATTCTTTCCACTTTTTTGCTGTTATGAATCATATCTATTTAACTGATGAAAAAACTGAGGCCAAGAGGCTTAATGCTTAATGATTTGTTCAAGATCACACATAGCTGGGCAAAGTGGCATATGACTTAGTTACTAAGGAGGCTGAGGTGGGAGGATCATGAGGTCAGCCTGGGCAACAAAGCGAGACCCTGTTTCAAAAACAAACAAAAAATAAAACAACAAAAATCCCCCAACACAACTAGTACACTGTGGAGCCAGGATGCTGAGCTCCAGGAAGTAGAAATAGCCAGAAGTGGGCACACAAAGTCATCAAAAAAGAAACTAAGAATACTGAGAATCAGAGAGGCAACATCAGAAGTGAAAATTCAAAACTAGAGACTCACAGTTTTGCTTCAACCCTTCATTTACAGAAAAGAAAAATTAAGTCTAGTAAAGGGGGCTGAATTAGACTTTGAATTCTAAGCCTTCTTGATCACAAGTTCTAAGGCTTTTGGGAAAAAGAACTTGTGCTAAGAAGGAAGTTCTGAATTGGGAACTCAACTACATGCAAAATCAAGTCAATGAAGTGTTTATAAACACCTGTTATGTGTTCGGCCTCTAGGCTAAATAGGTGACTAAAACAGATTCTTGTATTTGATACTTATGTAATCTAGAATTTTGTACAGCTAATAAATTGGTGAAGGTCTGGATACAATCTGATATAAATTCCTTACGTAAGGAAGTACTTAAGTTGTCTTTCAGGAAGTACCTCCAAAATTCATTCAAGGATGACTTAAAACTGCTTGTTCAAGAATGGAATTGTGCAGAAGCCAGCTTGCCTGAGGTTTAAGTTTAAAAAAAAATCCTCCACACAGAACAGGCCCTTGGAAAAAAACCACAACACTGTGACCCTTGAAGAGGCATAACATCTATACCTGTGCAAAAGAACCCTAAAACTTCTCCTCACCTATCCAATCAATAAGCAGCGTCTCCATTCTTGTCAGTTGTCCTCACAATATAGTCCTTTACTTTTGAAAAAGAAACAAAAAACCAATGTGTCACAATATTGGCTTCTGTGTATGCAGGGCCCTTGCTCAGTATCACTAAAGGTTTGACATTTAGTTCAGTTTACAAAGGAAGAAATTTAGACCAGGGGTTAGTTTGTAACAGATCTTGAATTATGGCAGTTCTGATCTCTCTATAGAGAAGTTTCCATTACACATGCTGGGTCCTGATAATTTGATTTCAAGTAAAATCAATCTGTGGTACAAGAGCTCTTTAAAACAAAATAGTTTATATGAACAGGCAACTATTAGAGAATGGTCACTGAGGTGACATCTGAGTAAAGGCTTAAGGAGTTAAAGGAGTTTGCTTCAAGGACAGGGAAGAGCATTCTGGGCAGACTGAGGCACTAGTTTAAAGGTATGAGCAAGAGAACTTTTATCTCCCAGACTTTGCCTGGTCTTGGACTCAATTATTATGATCTGGTGTCCAATTATATATGGTTCCTAATTTTTGGTTCAAAAAATATGGTCACCATAGATCTGGGGCAATTATACATTGTGAAATCACTCCTTCCCCCTAAAAAAATTATTTAGCCTATTGAAAACAGATCAAAATATTCTCATGGCCAGTCAACAGAACATGGCTAGAGGTCAGATTATGAAAGAGTTGTGGCTGATTCCAATTCCTACTCCTTCAGAACTGGAGGAAAGGGAAATCTTATCAGAAGGCATCATTTTTTTTTTTCTTTCTGATCATTCTTCTACCTCACCAAACTGCCAAAAAAAGTTGAAAAGAAAACACAAAGTAAAAACCCAGAAACCCTAAATTTAACTCACCTATGCTATGGAAAGGTATTTTGTCAGGTGTGTTAAATTTAAAAAGAACTGAAAAAATAGTTATGCAAATTTCTCTGTAGCTAAATCTACAATTCAGAGGTCTAATTCTATCCCATACTCAGTCATTTTTATTCTTTCCCAGGAATACAAACTGAGAAAAATGAACACCTGTTCAGTAATAAAACACCTGTTCTATCAAGTCCGGGTTCTATCACTACCCACGTATTTAAGTTTGGTAAAGTTTACCCAATTTTTCTAAACCTCAATTTCCTCAACTATTAAACGGGGAATAACAAAATGAGGTAGTCGGCATGGTAAGTGATCAAATGAAACCTGATGATGCCTAGAAGCAGTAGCTGGAACTTCACAGTATCTGGAAGGCAGAAGGAAGGGCTGTTTGGAGAAACCAGGTCCAACGCCCTCCTTTTACCAATGGGTAAAATGATGCCCAGGAAAAGGTAAAGAACCAGGACCTACGGTCACATGGAGTCAGAAGAACCAACTATTCTCAGACACCGCTAAAGAGAAGGGGCAAAGAGAGAGGAAAACCTCCAATTCAGTCGATTCTTCAGGCTCAAGAGACTTCTCATCTCCCAGGACATGACTCCATATCTGCCCACTTCCTTGAGGCTCGCCTGTGAACCTCAGTTTCTCCCTCTGTAAAATGGGTCGTGAACACCTGGTCAAGGAGGCCGTGAGGAGTGGCTGGTCCTCTCGACTTAGCCGAGTAACCCCTCGCCCTCCAGCCCACAGTTTCCCTTGCCAGCGCCCTCGTTCGGCATAGACTTCGTGTTTCAGACTCCTCGCCCGCAACGCTTACCTGCTACGCGAGGCCAGGAGGCGCTGCACCCGCCGCTGGAACGCCCACAGAGACCAAGCAGCCATGATGCAGACCGGAGAGGATCGGTGCGGCGCACGCGCACTCGCTCCAAGTGAAGCGCGCGCTCGAAAACCACGCCTCTGGATAGCTTTAGAGAGCAATTCCCGCTTTGGATGTCCGGACAGGAACGCTAAACTTCCGGTTATCTAATGAGCCACGCTGATCTTGGTACCGAACGCAACACTTCCGGTTGCTGGCTCTTTGGTTTGGTAGTGTGGGTACCTAGGTACGGAGGATTGGTACTAGGCACGGAACGACGGACAAAAGCGGCTGAATCTTCATAGAGCTTTCGTGAAGTTATAAACTATAGATACAAGCGCAGTATAAAATCGAAATATGTCCAGGGTTTAAAGATGAGGGACGGAGTGTTGCGGAGGCCTAGAATACAAATATGTCCGAGTATGGAAAGTTTTCCCAAAGGAAATGATATAGAGCTGAGAGTAAAAGAATTGGTAGGTGAAAGGAGGGTCAAGTGGTGGTGGGGGTGGGTGGGTAATATTTGCAAACATCCAGTGAAGAGGGAAGAGTATTGCAAACAAGAGACTGAAATACAGCGAAGGGGAGCAGAAGCATAAGCTGGGTAGGCAGGACCAGATCACGTGAATGGTGAAAAAAACTGCATCCTGAATGCTTCTTTCCCCACTTTTCCTTCAATACCCTTATTTTCTGATTAGGAACTGTTTTTTAATGGTGTGTATTGTTTTATTTTCTCTTACTAAAACTTAGGTTCCATTGGGGGCAGAGATTTTTTTTTTTGTTAATTCCTAGTGAGCAGTGCCCTAATGTACGTGTTTAATATTTTTTCGTGCTGAATGAATCTTAGTCTTATTTTGATTGCATTGAGAACATGTGGTAAAGCCTTTACATATTTTTGTTGTAAGGAGAAGACAGGGTATAAGAAAAGAAGTAGGGGAGATAAGCTGTTGGAATAATAGCCCAGGCAGGAGAGGGATGTATTCTGCCTAAGGTCACCTCAATGGAAACCTTTGTAACTTCCCTGTGTAAAGTAACTGTGTCCCAAATCTTTTTCCTTTATTAGTATTTATTTTGCTTCCTTTTTGTTACTTTAATTTGGATTTGAGCTTCACCAGGTTCAAAGCTATTTTCCCTTGACATCTACTATAGCAGGTGCTCAATAAATATTTGTTCAGTGAATTAATGAAGTTGGATATTAATGAAGATAGGAGGATGTGGATGAACTATAGAGATTTAGGATGGAAAGCTGACAGGATATGAGAATGAACTGGTGGCTGGGATCTAGGGTATTTGGAATTACCAACTTATTGAATAATCTTTAAAGTTAAAAAAAAAGAAATGGGACGGGCTGGGGTTGGGGCTCAGTGGTAAAGCATGTGTGAGGCATTGGGTTCGATTCTCAGCACCACTTACGAATAAATTCATTAAATAAGGGTCCATTGACAACTAAAAAATATTTTAAAAAAAGAAATGGAATATACTTAAGCACTCTGAATCTTCACATGTTATGGCTTACTTCTGTAGCAATCTGGGTCAGATTTTCTCTCCTGCTTGTCAGTTCCATGAGGACAGAGCTGAAATCTTTTGCATCTTTATATGGCATCTAAGTCCCACTCAAATGTGTTATAACCAATCCCTTCAAGTTTTTGATTGTTGCCTTATGAGAAGGGAAACATGGTTTAAGGAGGGGCTATTAACCCTTTTACAGAAAATTGAGGCTCAAAGCAGTTGGTGAACCTGTGCAAAGTCCTCCACTGAGGATCCAACCACACTAGAATTCTAACAGACCAAACTTGGCGGTGTTAGGAAGGATGGAACTTCAAGTTCACCTCAGACCCATGACCTGTAGTTTGAAAAAAAAAAAAAAATACAACCAAACAAGGCATTTTAACAAGAGCAGGGACTGGCATTTGCGTTTTAGCCATTGCTTACATTTCTCTTAGCTGCCCAGCTTATACCAAGTGTGCTTCATCCATTCATTCATGTGTTTATTAAGTGCTAGTGTGCTTCTGAATGCTGCAGTGCAGTGGGAGGGAGATAACGTGTTGAAAAAGAGCTTGCAGGAGCAGACTGAATTGTAAACAATGGAATGATATGACCCATCTTGCAGGATTTTAGTAAAGACTAAAGGGATAATGCCTAGTAGAGTGATTAGTTACCCCCAGGACTGGCTAATAATTTAAAGGGACAAAAGGAAAATGCAGATCCCCTTGTTAAAAAATTATTAAGGAAAAAAATTATCAAGAAGGCAGCAGTAGAATAGCAAACTAAGCACAGGACCCTTCTGAGCACGGGACCCACCCTTGACTACACAGGCTGCATGGCTATAAAGCAGACTGTGGCTAACAGTGCTTGACATGGCAAGTGCTCAATAAGTGTTAACTATTAGTAACCTAGGGTCCCTCTGAGTTCAAGATCTATTGGAAAAAGACAGAACACCCAAATAACTGCATCAGAAACAATGTGACAGATACTGAAGACAGTTGTGGGTGCCATTGCAGAATACACAATTTAAAAAAAGAACATTGGCAATCCAGAGTATGTGAGAGTAGTTATGATTTTGTAAAGTCATTGATGTCACTTTAGATACTGAAGTGGAATTTGGATGAAGACTATCAGTTTGCATTGTTAACCTTTTGATGATTATAATTATACTCTAAAAGCCATTTCTTCAGTGTAAAGAACAAAGCCTTTTGAGTCAGACATTTCTTATCTAACTAATAATAAGAACCATTCTGGACTTGAACATACCCTATTTCTGACACTATGCAAGATGCTTCCTGTATATTATGTCATTAAATACTCCCAACAATCTTTGCAGGAAAGTACAATCATTAATCCTGTTTTTTACTGATAAGGAAAGCAAGAATCAGAGCGGTCAGGTGACTACCCTAAGGTTACCCTGGATAGCAGCAGAGGCACAAACTGAGCCTTATCTGGATCCAGAATCATAACCCCTAAATCAGATGCTCAGCCAGGGATCAGCTCGGTGATTTTGGTCAGGTTATTTTTCTTGCTCTAGCCTCTAGCTACTTCAGAGAGTGCTGAAGTTTGAATGAGTCTGAAGTTTATTCAGCCTAAGGGTAGACAAAATATGTCAAGGCTTTAGCAGACTTATTCTGGGATTTCCTCCCCCTCCCCCCATCTGATCTTTTAAGAGTTAAATTGTTGTGTCTTTATTGTAGAGAAATGTGTTAAAGACAGATCCATGAAGTGCCTGTAGTATTGAGATGGTAGTAAGTGGCACAAAAAAGAGATTGCTCAGGACTTCAGGTTCTCGCTCCTCTTATAAAAGTATCAAGTGTTTGTAAAAGCTCTTGCACCCATGTGGCAGAAATGGGCCACCATCCTATTGGTTTTCCTTGGTAGCTTTACTTTATAGCAGTGGCAGGCTTCCCATTAGGATAAAGGCATAGTTTTTAACCATAGTTCCAGGATCCTCAGTGTCATAAAATAGGAAAAGGACCTGACTGACAGCAAGTCCCATTCTCCAATGCCTGCAACATCCTGAACTCCGTACTCTTGTCACTGCAAACTTAAAATATGTTGGCTGATGAACTTTGCCCTCTGGCTACTCAAATATCTGATTTTAAAATGCTCAGATTTGAAAGGCTCCAGTAGCTTCACTGTGCCCAGCTCTAAAACAGTTGAGGAAAGATTGTAGAATTTGCATGCTCCTGATAGCTTTTGTGCATTTTGCATTTTGTTTTTGGTACCAGGGATTGAACTCAGGGACACTTGGCCACTGAGCCACATCCCCAACCCTATTTTGTATTTTATTTAGAGACAGGGTCTCACTGAGTTGCTTAGGGCCTCACTTTTGCTGAGGCTAGCTTTGAATTCAGCGATCCTCCTGCTTCAGCCTCCTAAGCTGCTGAGATTACAGGCGTGCACAATCATGCCCAGATAGCTTTTGTTCATTTTTGTGCAGGCAGAGATAATATAATAATTGATTTTTCAGCCCATTTTCCTTGTCCAGAGATGATCAGTAATGCCCAAGAAGAATGCAGTTGGTACAGGTGTGATCAGATGATCAAGTCTTTTCTCTTTACACTGTACCACTGATGTTCAGCATTGCCTTCGTTTGCTTTAAGGACTGGGAATGGGATGTTGAGATGAGATGGAATGGCTTATTCACATGTGCTTTCATTTCTTCTCCAGAAGGGAAGATAAAGATATCTAAAAAAAAACTTTACAACTGTGCAGAATTCAGTCTCCCTCTACCACCATTTCCACCCTTTGTAAAGTCATAGGGAACCCCCTCTGTTTCCATATGCCTTTGACTACTTCCCTCCCAAGGTGCCCCCAAATCATTCAGACAACAAAGGCTGGTCTTTTGGGTGCCCCAGAAAATGGGAGCTACTTCCAGTTTTCTCCTGGTTTCTCTTTGTGAAAAAAGCATTTACGCCTCAGATGGACAAACTGGTATTTCTTTTGGAATGAAATCCTAATCTTCATTCTAGGTCTTCTTCATTTCCCATTCCTGAAGTATAGAAAGAAAGAAAAAGTCAGTTTGTTGTGAGTTCTAGTGTGACTGTAGGATAGAAAACATTTCACTGCACCTAATTATATATCTCCACTGTCCTGGTCCTACTTAGTCTCTTGTGATCCTGAATAAGACACTTCTCCATGCTTATCTTGTCCCCTCATCCATTCTCAAATAGTAACCAGAATGATTATTTAAAAATGTAATTCATAAAAAATCTTGCTCAAATCTGTCCAATGGCTTTCCATTATGTCAAACAAAATCCAAGTCTTTACAAAGGACTGGTTAACTATAGCCCATTGGCCAAATCTGGCTTGTTGTCTGCTTTTGTATAACCCATCAGCTAAGAATGCTTTCACATTTCTAAATAGATGTTTGGAAAAAAAAATTTAAAAAAGAAGGGTTTCGTGATGGGTGAAAATTCTATGAAATTCAAACTTCAGTGTCTATAAATGAAGTTTTGAGACATAGCCATGGTCTTCATTTGCTTAACTATTGTCTGTCTATTCATTTGCTTAACCTTTGTGCTATAATGGCAGGGCTGAGTGGTT